AAGTAATTGCTTTATTTTTCGGTTTGAAAGAAAAAGAAAGAACAATTATTGTAAACAAGATCGGTTATGTATCATTTATTCTTCTGTCACAGTGCTATAACCTTCAAGCCGAAAGAATAATTATCATTGCATAATCTGCTCTACCATAGTTCAAATTGATGGGCAACACTCAGACGAAATGAGGATATGTAGAGGAGTTAGACAGGGATGTGTGTTATCACCACTTTTGTTTAACTTATATTCTGAAGAAATTTTCCAAAACACGCTCAATAATATCGAAGCGGGAGTCACCGTTAAAGGAAAATTAATTAATAATTTAAGATATGCAGACGACACTGTGATCATAGCAACGAGTATAGAGGATCTACAACATCTTATCGAAAGCTTGAGTATAAATAGTGCTGAGATGGGAATTACTATAAACGCTAAAAAAACGAAGTACATGCTGATTACAAAAAGGCCACAAAATATACATCACCTATTGACAATAAATGGTAACGTGATAGAACAAGTAGAAAAATATCAGTATTTGGGAACTTTGATCAATGAAACCAATGATCATACTGTAGAAATAAACAGGCGAATAGAGATTGCCAGATCAGCATTTATACGAATGAAGCCACTCCTAACGTGCAAAAATCTAAATTTGGAGATCAGACTACGTACCATTCGCTGTTATATATTTTCAATATTATTATATGGAGCTGAGACTTGGACATTAAAAAAATGTAATTTAAAAAGAATCGAGGCCTTCGAACTCTGGTTATACCGCAGATTATTGAAAATATCATGGACTGATAGAATTACAAATAAAGAAGTACTGGAGAGGGTTGGTAAAGAAACAGAACTAATCACCACTATACAAACCAGAAAACTGGAATACCTAGGCCACGTGATGAGGGGACCAAAATATGAAATTTTCAGACTGATAATACAGGGAAAGATTCAAGGAAGAAGATCTGTTGGCCGAAGGCAGAACTCATGGTTAAAGAATCTACGTGATTGGTACCAATGCAGATCGATTGATTTGTTTAGAGCCGCAAGTTCTAAAATAAAAATAGCCATTATGATTGCCAACCTCCGTAGGGAGACGGCACTCTAAGAAAAGAAGAATCTGCTCTAATTTTTTTTTCGATTTTTTTTCGATGGCTCAATATTTGCAATTTTCGATTTTTTCTCCAAGAAAGTTGTATGTATGTTACGGGTAAACCCTGAAATTGGGTAAAACTAATTTTACCAGGATACATTGCGTACTCTCCAAATTAGCTGAATAAAAGGAAAATGAGATTGATAACTTATTGATTTATCATCCGGGTCATCCTAGATCTATCCAATTTCAAATGGATAAAGCTATACATTTTAAACTTCTAAACTTTGGATGCTAAATAACACTACTTATGTTTAAATGTTATTTGCTTTATTTTCTTCATTAAGACTACTACAACATTATTGTCCAAAATATTTAACAAAGCATTGAAAACTTGATTATTATCAAGTATATCGGTCAGATAGCTCAGCGGGCTGTGCGGCTGCCTCTCATTCGCTTCACTGTCGAATGGTTTAGTGGATGTGCGATCGAGCTCCAGCTCGGTGTACGGAAAACAAAAAGTCTAACGCAGCAGTTTAAAATTCTAGATGAATCTGCGGCTTAGACTAGAATATGCTGGGATCTAATCGGCCTATGGTGGAGCAGTACGGCAAGAGATAAGGGCTTGCGGCTCGGTGATACTCCTCCATAAATCCCTACCGGACGGGCGTAACGCCTAAAAAACCGGATATATATATATATATAATATATATATATATATATATTATATATATATATATATATATATATATATATATTTTATATCCATAACCACCAGGCATATACTGACTACTAGCAGTTTGGCGTAACGATTTTCTTTTAGAAAAAACTTTCGTCAATGTCAATGAGTTTATTGTACCACTTTGTAAACTTATTTCATGAGAACATTTTTTTCAACTGAAAAACAGCATGATTTGAAAAACAACATAATTTATAGCTTGCTCAAACGATACATGCCTTCCTCATCTGCTTTAATCACAGACTTTAAAATCTTTCTAAATCACCTCTTCCTCCATCTACATCGTGTATTTTCAGATGCACATTATCGCCAACCGTGTGTACAGGAAATGTGCTAGCCGACATTTCTATAATTTTCTTAGCTTGGTTTTCCACATTGCTTTTAGGTTCTTGTCTGAGAGAATTTTGAACAAGATTTACATATGTCATTGGCCAAAGAACTTCGTTCACTGCAAACTAAGCAAATTTCGTCTTTGTCATTCTCGCCTATACTTAGAATTTAAGACATTTTTATCTTCTACAAATGTCTTCTCATCATGTCAAAATTCGTTCATAATTTTTCCAACTATTCCTCTATTTTAATAACCTCAATAACCTAATAAAATTAAACATTGCAGCATTAAGATTTTCAGAGAAATATTCATTAACGTGTAACTTTATCCACATAGAACAGAAGGGAAAACCGCGGCATTAATAAAAATTATGTCAAACATCGGCGGTCCGAGTATCCTCAAAAGCAGAATGTACCTTTAGGTTTTACATTCTACCCTAAATATAAAGAAATGCTTCTTCTTCTTTAGGTACCGTCTTCTCTAAGGAGATTGGTAATCATCACAGCTATTTTCAGTTTTGAGATTGCAGCTCTGAACAAGTCGACGGAACTGCAATTATACCACTTTCTCAGATTGTTGAGCCAGGAGATGCTTCTTCTTCCAATACTCGTTTTTCCTGTATTTTCCCCTGCATTATGGTTTGTAGCAACACATATTTATCCCCTCTCATAATGTGGCCGAGATATTGTAACTTTCTTATCTTAATCATATTCATGATTTCCATTTCCTTTGTCATCTTTCTGAGGACCTCAACATTTGTTATTCGGTCTACCCAACTTATTTTTAATATTCTTCGGTAGGTCCACATATCGAATGCTTCAAGTCGATCGTGCAACTCTTTCTTTAAGGTCCAGGCCTCCACCCCATATAGCAGTACCGAAAACACATATGAACGTAATATTCTTATTTTAAGTTGAAAACTAAGGTCTCTACGTACGATGTTTTTACGACCTCGTGTACCTTCTCTTTTATTTTTACATTCCACCTTGTCAGGCCACATATACCTGCACTTTATCATCCCATAGTTTGTCTTTTTAAAATACTATCTCTGAATGTTATTTTATGTTGTTCTTATCGTTTTTAGGTAAGAATCTTCTTCTAGTTTGTCACCCAAATTTTCAGACTGCGCAAGGCATCCCAATGTTTCGTGCACGGATTGAACTCGTCCAGGGTGGTTTTAGTTGGTAGACGACTGGTCAAGGGAGCATGCGACGCATATAATCTAGACTTTGGAGGCTATGTCCTAGCTTGTGTTCCTCTCCTGATCGAATCCAACAGTACTAGGGACATCCTCTCTATTCGGTTTAGAAACATTCCACCTTAGTAAAAAAAAGCTTTATCGACTATATTTAGATAATTCCAACTCTATCCAGCTAATTCTAGTATTTTCCGATATTCGTGTTTTAACTGTACCTAACATATACAGGGTAGTCCCTAAGTAATTGTACAAAAAGAAACCGTAGATTATACCCTTTAAAATATTAGGATTTAAGCCAAATTGCTTTTTAAAATGTTGATATTAGGAAAGATACAGGGTGTTAAGTAGAAATTTAAAATTTTAATATTCGCTATAACTTTCATGTTTGTGAACATTTATGTATAAAAATTTAGAACTGGGTACTATTGAATATGGAAATTGTAATTTGATGCATACTTTGACGTAGCTGATAAAGGGCGCCACATATGCCACATATGAGGCATAAATTTGCACTTAACTTTTTTGCTCTTTAAGTTACCAGTGTTTGTGACAAAAAATATTAAAGATACATTATTTTGGCAAGATAAAGGTATATCTGTTAATAACTTCAAAACTCAACAGTTTTCAAGATAATCGCATTTTTCAGATCAACTGCATAATTCTGATTTAACGCAATTACTCCAGGTAACGAAAGAAAAATAGACAAAAACATCAATACTTCTATATTTTGGTATGAAATGTATTTAATAAAGTTAATAGTTAATGAAATATTAAATAAAATAAATATATCAGAAGGATAGTTTGTAATAGGATTTGACAAAATAACAAAATAATTGGATTTTACATTAAACATTTTACGTTTTATGTTACATTATCGTCTTTTAGTTGTTTTAAGAAGAAATGCCTATTAATGCTTATCCACAGGTATTCAGTGCTTTACCGCACAAATATCACAACTTAGAATTATTACACAGCTTACTTATTAAAATCCGAGTATCTCGAAAACGGTTGAATTTTGAAGTTATAACCAAGTATACCACTTCTTTGCAAAAATAATGTGTCTTTAATATTTTTTAACACAAATAGAGCTAACTTAACGAGCAAAAAAGTTAAGCGCAAATTTGTGCCACACACGTGGCATATGTGGCGCCCTCTATCAGCTTGATCAAAATATCTATAAAATTATAATTTCTCCTACTCAAAAGAAACCAATTGTAATTTTTTTATCCATAAATATTTACAAACGTGAAAGTTATAGCGAAAAATAAAATTTTTAATTTTCACTTTAACACCCAGTATCTTTCTTAATATCAACATTTTATTTAAGCAAGTTGACTTAGATAGTAATATTTTAAAGTGCAGAATCTACGATTTCGTTTTGAACAATTACTTGGGGACCACCCTGTATATGTAAAGAAAAACAATACTTTTTTGCTTTTCTTTAATTTATGTAATTTAGTTTTTAGTAGTTTGTTACGCCACTTTCAAAATACTTTTTAAGTCTTATTTAGCTTTGATAGTCATTATTAATTTGTATTACTGCCATAGGAGACGTCATTTTAATATTAGATAGTTAAAAGCTTAAAATGTTGTTTCTTTTTGCAGAGAAAAAAAATCAGATATATAAAATAAAACACAGTATTTTATATCACCGTTTATTTTGCTTATTTGCTTAAATAACAACTTTATAAAATAAGTTAAAATTATGTACAGTATTTTATACTTAAATTATTCACAAAAAAATAACAAATCTGACAGCTATAACAAAATCTGTTTAAAAATCGAGTAATACTTATTTACAAAAGCGCAACAAATCTCTTTTTTGGACCAACTGAAATATACCGATAAAAGTGCAGTTAATCCGTATTATACAGGATGACACAAAACATTATAATGTGATTTAAATATGAGTTCCGTTAAATCACAATTTAGATTTAAAAAAATATGCCATAAGTTATAAAAACAAATATCTACGTTAACAGTTGCATTGCAGCTTTTATGTTTGTTTTCTAATAACAATAGATTTGAATATTTCATTCACATATTTAGATAAAATAAAGGATCTCGAAACAATTTATAGCCTAAGATTCCACTACAGTGTTCAATTCAATTAATAGTAATTAATTTTTGACAAATATTTTACTTCTTTCATTTATTTGTTAAATAAAATACGCTGTTCATGACGCATATCCATGTTTTTTATATCAGATTAAAGATAATTAAAAGTGGCGTCTTGCAATTTATGTTTTAAAGTTTGCTTTCCTACCACTCTTATAATAGTTTCGCGATACATAGCGCTCATGAGCTTGAGGTTAGCTTAACACAAACTTAAAGACAGAAAGGCTGGTCACTGATTAAACTGGTTATCTTGTGTTACTGTTATTAATAACCAAAAATACGTTGTATACTTTTATCTTCTAATTATGTAATAATTTGTCTTACAAAAAACTATCGAATATTTAGTTCACTTATATAACACGATACTTAATTAATCCATTTAAAAATAATCAAATTGCTCGATTCTTCGAAAGTCAATTATTATTATATAAAAGAAGTATAAGTAACTACTGCGTAAATGAACACACTGAAATGAAACACATTAAGAATTCCCTAAACTTATGTAAGTTGAAATGAAATTTTTTTGCTTTTCACCACAGATCTACCAACCTTAAAAACCAACGCAGTACTTGCTTCCCATCATGTAATCCAATTGTGATCATCAAAAATCATACAAAGATCCCAAACAAAGCTCTCTGAATTATAACCAAAGCTCAATGGTATGTTACATAAAAAAGATGTTAGATTATCAAGGAAAAATTAAAATAACCAACAATACAAAAATGATAAGGCCCAGTATCTGCACGATAAATGATGGTGAGATGGTTGCAGATATCAAAAACAATATAAAAATAATCTGGGATAGATACACCTCGAAACAAACATACAATTTATAACGCTATAGTTACGATTATAGACATATGTAGCGGTTAACTTTATTTTTAACACTAAAAGTATGGGAGGTGTAAAAATAGAATATTGTGGAAGACATCCATCAAAATAAAAATTAAAAAGTACGAAAACAACGAGCATGAGAGAAAAAGAGAGTAATTCATTCTGGGTTATGCACACAAAAATAAAATATGCTACTATTATTATAAGCTGGATTTAAGAGTGGCACAAAGAGCAATGGATATACCAAAGTTGAATATATCCCTCAAAGACAGAGTGTCAAATCAAATAGTTAAAAGAAGGATTATTATAAGGAGGATTAAGGATATTAGAATGGATACTTAGAAACATCCGTACGGTAATGGCGGACGTCCTCCAACAACATGAAAGAAGACCGGAAACACTATGTATGGGAGGCCTACGTTCAGCAGTGGACTCAACACGGCTACTCATGATAATACCGTGAAAATTATGGCAATGATTTTTAATCCAAACTGCTTGGCTGAAGCAAATTTTATTTTAAGATAGCAGTACATACAGTAAATACCGTCTAGAATGCTAAAAAATGAGACATATTTTCAACATTTTTTTTTGCATCTATCATTATATATGGCAATCAAACTTTTTTTTTATATTATTATTCAACTTTTGAAAATTACAAATTTTTTTTCATTGTTCCTGTATTTTAGAGGTAGCGCCAAAAATTTTTCCTCCAAAAAATTTCTGCTTTATGATGGATGGTTAATCTCTGCAACAACAAATCTGAAATATAAAATTCGAGAAGGGTTTTAAAAAAGAAGAGCCCTTACTTGATAGTTTACCAGAAAACTTGAAAATTCTCAAAAAAAAAACAAAATGGAGGACATTTGAAAAAATTGTTCAAAAATGAATCTTTTTTTACTTTTTTTAGTCACAACAATGTTTATTTTTGTCAAATTGTAGTAAACTCATAGAGAAATCCAAAACAAAGAAAATGCATAAAGGTTTATTAAAATCGACCGACTATTTCAGAAGATAAGTGTCCGCCAGTTTTAAAAACGTAGTTTTTCTCAAAATCTTTAATCTCTGGATCTAGTCGGTTAATTTTAATAAACTTTGATACATTTTGTTTGTTTTGGTTTTCTTTATGATATTTTACCACAATTTGAAAATTTTTGTGGCGACAAAAGTCGAAAATTTTTAAATAAAAAAATAAAATTTTTAAAAATTTTTTTCAAATTTCCGCCATTTTATTTTTTTTAGGATTTTTTATTTTTCTGCTAAACTACTTAAATTTTATATTAAAGAGTTGTCGTTCCAGAGATTAACTATACGCCATGGAGCAGTAATTTTTTCGACGAAAAATATTTTGGCGGCATCTTTAAAATACTGGGACAATGAAAAAAAAGTAAAAAAAAGTTGTATAATAATATACAAAAAGTTTGATTGTACTATATATTAGATTAGATACAAAAAAAATTGTTGAACATATGTCATTTTTTAGCATTCTAGACAATGATAGTACCTTAAATGTTAATTATAAATGATTTATTTTGGACTATATAAGAAATAATAAATAAGTACTTAATCTGTTATTAAAAATACAATAAATAAATAAATAACGATAAACATAAAAATATTTTCTACGTCCATGAAAAATCCTTATATTTATTTATTTATTTAGTAGTAGTACAATATATTGAATGCAAAACCTGATTTCTTTAGTGCTCTACTATAATAAAATATTATAAAATACAAAAATTGTATTACACTAACAAATTGCAAACAAATTCAATGTTGATACTCAATACAGATACCAGATACTACAAATCAAGAATATTTAAAAAATTATTCCGTGTGAAGAATATTTATATAAAAATTTGAACAAATTGTTGTTTAAAATTAATTGTGTAAATAAAGTTTGAGTTAAAGAATTATTGTAAGATATCAGTTTCCAAATTTCTCAATGCTAATCGGCTTACTAATTAATTATTAAATATTTTGATATTAAATTAGGTTTTTATAAAAAAAAATTTTAAATTTTTGTATGAACGTAGAATGCAACTCATGCAAAAGAGATGGAAAATTGTCCAACAAGGACGTTAGGCCGGTTTGGACAACCTTAATTCTTGCAAATCTTACGTAAATATTTATTTTTGTAAATAAATTATAACCAAGTCAATAGTTTGATTATATAAATTTTTAATCAATTTTAATTGTTATACCTACTTTCAACGTCAAAGTTAAAAGAAGATATTACATCATAATATGTACGTTTTGTAACATCCTGTAAAATTTAGCCCATCTAGCCACCACAGACCTCATGAACACATTAAAGTGTAAACTATACTTACATATAAAAACAACAAGCATTATTAGCTATATTATGTACCTAGTAATTTTTGGAAAATGTAAAAAAATATACAGATAGAATGACAAAGTATCACAAATCAAGACCGAAACGGACTGAAATAAACATTAATTTTATTATTTTTCTCTATAATTTTCGCGGAGTATCCAAGAAGTTTTGAACGAGTTATACGAGCAATTCCACATACCTCTGATTTTGAAAGTGACCACAATATAAAAATGTTTAATGACTTATGTCAAAATGTCAATGTAAAAAAAACACAACAAAATGTTACAATTTAGGTTGCCGACACTTGTTGAACACTGCTTTTCTTATTATTTATATCTGCTAATAGATGTAGAACTGCTTACTCTTTTCCATTGAAAAATATGTTATTAAATAAATGATTCTTGCAACTTTTATGAGAAATAAAATGATTGTATTAATAATTTTATATTATATATAACAATAAAACACTGAACCCTTTATTTTCAAAACTTCCACAAAATTTATTATAATATTTTATAACTATAGCTGTTTCGGCAGAGTGCCCTAAGTCGTTGAGAGAAAGGCACTCTGTCGAAACAGCTGTAGTAATAAAATATAATAAATTTTGTGGAAGTTTTGGAAACAAAGTTTTCGGTGTTTAATTGTTATATAAAATTAATTTCCATCAAGTAACGGTCGAATCTATCACTTATTTATATTATATCTCTCTTCTCGAGAAGTTAAGTCAATAATATATCACAAGGTAGAAGTCAGCATTCAGACGATTCAACCACTAGCACAAATACCGAAATACTGAGCGTTATTCAGAGGTATAGCATTAATTCTCTAAAGAATCATTGTATGTATTTACTTCAACTAACTACATATATCAGTTTTGTTGTTTTTTAGTCTATATCTATCAAACATTCCGTTCAACATTCAATAGTTGATCAACAGATTAAGTTAAATTCCATTAGTTCGGAATCTGTTTTTTTATGTAGGTAGTTCTTTCTTGACCAAAGTTATATTTTTAATATTCCTCTATGTTTCCGGTTCAACTTCTTTTCCACATATTTTGTTCTCTCTTTTGTGTTTTCTCCATTGTATTTGTAGATACTCCAATCAATTTCCATTTTCCAACAAAACTAACGAATTAGCAACAAACAAAAGATTTTTGCCCAGTAATTAAATTTGTTAGAATCATTTTTTACAATTTTTATTGTCACATTCGCATGTCTGCCTATATATAATAGAACACTTCAAAAATACTTGTGTTTTTTTTATTCTGTTTTTCATATCACTTTTTTATTGTGTATTTTTCTATTTTTTAGGTTTTTTAAAATCATTTTTATCAAGTAACATTTACTTAGATGTGTATATTTTTCTACTTTTTAGGTTTTTTATCATCCAGTTTAATTTCGTTCTTTTTTTCATTATTTTAATTTCAAATACAAAGTATAAAACTTGAGAAATATAAAAAGTTATAAGATTTAAAATAAACATCATTTAGTATGAAAGTAAGCAAAAATTCGATTAGAATAGTAATGTCAGGCAAACAGAGCGACTTTAACAAGAAACCCTCAAGAAATATATGCTACGTAGCCCTCACAAATCTAGAGATGGGATTCCGAGTGAAGGGTGAATACATCAATAATATCCGCTACGCCGATGACACTGTGTTACTAGCAACCAGCCTAAACGATCTGCAGGCCTTACTAGACCGAGTGCGAACTGTAAGCGTAACATAAGGACTGAACCTTAATATCAAGAAAACTAAATTCATGGTTGTCAGCCGTACAAATTTAGATCCGGGGCACTAATGGCAGGTAGCGAAGAGATCCAGAGAGTCGACAGATTCACTTACCTCGGAACTACCCTCAACTCACAATGGGACTACACTCAAGAGATTAGATCCAGAATTGAAATGTCACGGTCTACATTTATTAAGTTGAGAACCTTGCTGTGCTGCAGTGATCTCAGTTTGGGAACCAAGATGCGGATAGTGAGGTGCTACGTTCTTCCAGTGTTGCTGTATGGATTGCAATATTAAGAGATCCTTTTTATGTATATTTATAGAGTCCGACTGGCAATTCACTTTATTCTACCGATGAGGTAAACCACACTTTATTCTGGTTTACTAGAAAAGGGATTCCGATCAAGTATGATGTAATTTACTACCTGTTTCCGTTGGATTTCGACATCTGTTATTCTCTAGGCCAGTGGCCCTGTCTGCCAGGATATACAAACTTTTACGTGGGTGCAATATTTCATATTGCTGTTTTTTTTTGTTCAGAGACATTAGCTTTTATTATTAAATTTGCTTATTTTTATTGACAATCAGCAACGTTTTTTTTAGTGTACTATTTTTAGTTTTTTTTAGTATGTATGTTAGTAGATGTACCATATAATTTAGTAACGTTAATTTTAGTATAAACATATAAATAGGATTCTTTCAGGTTGCAGTAAAATATTCATCTCATTAACATTTTGTTATGTTTAGATATTTAAAGTTTTAATTAATTTATTTTACGTATTAAGATTATTTCAATTATTTAAAAATTACAATCTGTTTTATTTGTTAATAGATTTATGTTTGAGTATTAATAAACAATTTTTTGACGTTTATCATTTTATTTTTGTAGAGACGATATAAATCTTTTTTAGTATTTTATTGAATATGTAAACTTTTTTCAGCTTATGGGTGAATATGTCGATTTTCATGATTTTTGTTGATAATTTGCTGATATGTTTTCTAACGTATTTCTTATTGATGTTTTTGAGAGAAATATGTATTTAATTTAATCATTATTCTGACTTTACAACCCTGGGTGGGTCCTAGCCTCCTCAAGAATGTCTTTCCAGTTGTCCCTATCCATCTTCGTTTATCTATCAATCTTTGATCTGTACTTTTTTATCATTTATATCCTTATCCTCCCCAATGAAGCTCCCTGACTTAGGCAACGTGATGTTCGTTAAGTATTGTGAACGAGAAATTTTTTATTATTTGCTTTTGTCAGCTTTTTCGCTACAGTCGGACAGTCTGTAGTATCAGGAAACTTAAAGAAATTAGTGAATTGGTAATTAATATTAATATTAGAGAAATATCAATCACCCTCTGAACTTTACTGTTATAATGGACGCATCCTTGACGATATGTTCAGATAACATAAAGTACAGATTACTTTTCTGATGGAAACCTTATACCCTTTCGAGCATAGCACAATATAAACAACAAAAATGTTGATACAAAAAGTAACTGTACGGGATTGGATTGAAAACGAATCGAATCCGATAACTGGAATACGTAACAAGACCTCCGCATAATAGAGCGTCCCAAACATACTAAACACAACGATAAGAAAAAGGAGAAAAGTTGCGCGAACAACAATTAAACGACAACCTTTATAGAGTTTACTTTAAACCAAATAAAGGTCGAGAACTGGAAGAACAAGTAAAAAACAGACAAGTGGTGAAACATTGATGCCCAATTGTATATAACTCGTCCAAAATACCTTGTAAACAAACCTTACATTCTGACAATTGTCAATTACCTATACACGCTAACTATTGGTAACCATCATTTTTTCTTCTCAGTTCTTTTTTAAAATGTATCATCAGCTTTAACAAAAATCTATCAATCTTTCCCTACCTGGTCCATATATCATCCATGGCACTATCAGACAAATATTTCTCCGGTAAAACTTTTAATGTTTTCATAGTTTCGAGATAAAATATTACTTCTGTGGTTACGACACCGTGTTGAGGTCCACCGTTGTTCTGGATGTTCATTTTCGTCAAGTGGTCCTTAGACGGTTTTTAAAGTTTTTATGTATTACCTCGTATATGTCCGTCACCTACAAAAAATTAGAAAATTAACGTAAAGTTGAATTTCCTAACAGTTTCAATTCACAATAATACAATAATTACTGAAAGTTTTTTCCTGTTTTTCGTTCATTATTTATTTTCGATTTTTAAATGTACGAGGATAGATTGATATTAAACTAGCCTTTGATAGATGGCGCTACTTGATACCGAATTGGTTTCGGTGTTGACATTTGCCATTCATGACATGACGTCTGTCAAAATTTTAAGTTTTAAAAACAATTAGTTTGGTTTAGCCGTCAAAAGCAAGCAAATTTTGTGTTTTCGGAGAAATGGAAAAAGTAGAGTATCGTTCGGTGATTAAGGTCCTCCACAAAAAGGGTAAAACGAATGTGCAAATTAAAGCCGAGCTGGAAGAAGTTTATGGTGAGGTTGCACCTTCGTCAGCAACAGTAAAATTTTGGAAAGAGGAATTTGTTCATGGTCGTACGAGTGTTTTTGATGGTGAGCGTCCTGGGAGGCCAAATGAAGTCACCACGCCGGAAATGATCAACAAAGTCCATGACATGATTATGGCAGATCGTCGAATTAAGCTCCGCGATTTAATAAAGGTCCTAAACATTTTCTACGAACGCGTACACAACATCATTTGCTATCATTTGGACATGAAAAAGCTATCCGCTCTATGGGTGCCGCGTTTGCTGACAATCGAATCAAATGCAAAAACGTGTGACCACTTCGGCGACGTTCTTGGCGATGATACGGCCGGATCCAAAGGGTTTTTTTCGCCGATTTATCACCGTTGATGAAACTTGGGTACATTATTACAGACCGGAAACCAAGGCGCAAACGCGGCGAAGGGGCTCCGAAGAAGGCAAAGAGTGCACATTCGGCCGGCAAAGTGATGGCGACTGTTTTCTGGATGCGAAGGGCATCATCCACATCGACTACTTGGAAAAAGGAAAAACAATCAATAGTGAGTACTACGCAGCATTATTGGATCGATTCGATGCCGAATTGCGTCGAAAACGCCCCGGTTTGGAACGCAAAAAAGTGCTCTTTCACCAAAACAATGCACCGGCTCACCGATCGGCTGTCGCCATCGCAAAATTACACGAATTGAGCTATGAATTGATTGAACACCCACCGTACTCTCCAGATCTTGCTGCCAGCGATTTTTTCCTGTTTCCAAACCTAAAAAATGGCTCGGAAGACGCCGAACAAATAATGAAGTCGTCGCTGAAACTTCGGCCTATTTTAAAGAGCTCGAGCAAAAGTACTATTCGGATGGGATAAAAAAATTGGAACATCGTCTTACTAAGTGTATCGAGCTAAAATGGGACTATGTTGAGAAATAAATCGATTTAATTCTAAAAAAACTTGTTTTTTCTATCAAAGGCTAGTTTTATATCAATCCACCCTCGTATTACAAGTACATACAATCAATATTTCTAATAATAACTTTGAAATACTTTATAAAGACAATAAAAAAACATTTTTTGTACTTTTTTTAAATGATCTCTATTTATTAGAGCAGTTCAACTGGTCACACGGGTCAACTCTAGTAACATGAGCAACCCAATGTAGATTGAGTATCCAACCCCAGTAGAAGGAAGAGTCGGGGTTGACGAGGAACGGAGTTTACTGGTCAAGGGCTTCGGGCAGATGAGCTGGTAAATGGAAGGGCACTCTGTCCTGAGATTAACTCAAAGGCGGATGAACCATGAATGATATAAGGATATAATGGTGAAAGGCATAAGGATGCAGAAGGCAAGGAGAAGAAAAAAGAAAGGATTTATCTAAAGAAAAATCACTAATGGAGAGTCAAAACAAAACGGCACCGAGTGCATGGCGTCTCTTAATGGGACACGGGTGCGAAGAATCTCAGATCGGAAAAACAAAATAAATATAAATCGTATTACAACGTGGAATGTACGAACATTATATAAAATTGGACAACTTGCATCATATATGCAACAACTTGCGTATATCTATGAATGGAGAAGTTTTGAATAACTTACGTTTTGCAGACCATACAGTAATAATTACGGATAACAACAATAATTTACAGAACGTAATGCAACGCCTTAATGAACGCTGTCATGAGTACGGACTGAAGATAAATTTAAAGAAAACTAAATGCATGATCATGACTAAATCTGCACATGCAAATATCCAATTGACTATTGAAGATACTGCCATTGAGAGTGTTAATAACTATAAATACTTAGGAACATGGATAACATCAGATGTAGACCAAACCAAAGAAATTAAGACACGTATTGAAATAGCACGTACATCATTTATTAAACTTAAAAAGTTTCTTTGTTGTCGGGATATAATGTTAGAACTACGCCTGAGAATGCTTCGATGTTACGTGTTCTCTACTCTTCTTTATGGCTTGGAAGCTTGGACACTAAAACAAGTTCATCTGAATAAGTTGGCTGCCTTTGAATTTTGGTGTTACAGAAGAATCCTACGAATATCATGGATTCAAAGAATGTCAAACATGGAAGTAACTAGAAGGATAGGAAATGAGGCGAAATAATATTAACTATTAAAAGACGAAAACTTGAGTACTTGGGACATGTGATGAGAGGGCAAAAATACGCATTATTACAACTTATTATGCAGGGCAAAATCCGAGGAAAGCGAAATGTGGGAAGACGAAGAATATTCTGGCTTAAGAACTTAAGGGAATGGTTTGAATGCAGTAGTGCAAAACTTTTTAGAGCGGCAGTCAACAGAGTCCGCATAGCCATGATGATTTCCAACCTTCGATAGAAGATGGAACTTAAAGAAGAAGAAGGACAACTTGCAACAGTATCACTAGAAATAAGCAGACTTGAAATAGAGATAGATACTTATCCTCAGCGAAGTAAGATGGCCCAGTGCTGGACAATATACTTAGTTGCTGGACAATATGACAATATACGTTAGTATAACGACATTGTTCTTTATTACTCGGGTAGCAATACTGATGATCACAAAAATGGTGTAGGAATCCTGATTTAAAAAGCACTACAACCCCGTATGTCTCTAACTTTATTCCATATAATGAAAAAATAATAATCTTACAGTTAAAAAAACCTACCCAGTAAACAAACATTTTCAAATTTATGCTCTAACAACAAGCAGCTCCGATAATGACATAGATTTATTCTATTAAGATTTACAATATCTATCGAAAAAAATTAAGTCAACATAATAATGGAAGACATTAACGCCAAATTCGGTAAAGGGAAAGTAGAATATATTTTAGGGAATTGTGGTCTAGAAATAAGAAATGAATTTTAAATTGGTACCCATATGTAATGCTAATGACGGAGCTTTGTAGCACTTCTATACGGGATCATAGGAACTTATTTCCTTAGTTGCAGTTATAAGATTTTGGAAACATTCTGGTTTCATTGCACTAAAAAGTCCCACAATGGATTTATCGATAGTTCTAAGAGCTATTAAAAGTCTTCACCAGTGTTTGTTCAAAAGGTGTTCACCATATAAACAAATTAAGTGTGTCGCTTTTTTTGCAACTAAACTTATATTATCTGCTCTCATAATGGTAAAATACTTCTTCGTTTAGCCGTGCTGCTTTCAAAAAATCTTGATTTTAGAAATCATCGACACCAAAAAAATCTTAGCTTTTAGTTAAACATCTTTTCCCAGATTTGTTTCACCGATTGGTTTTTGTTTGCAAACTTTTACATGTTTATATAAAAGCGTTTTTTAGTAATGCCCTAGAAATATGTGCATGCAAAAATTCCGTTTCGGGGTTACTGAAGTTCTTACACGATTTGTTAAATTTTTTCAGTTTTCAGATGATAGTATGCTTGTTTTCTCAAAGCAGACACCATCGACAATCGTTCTATGCTTCTCGGCGGCAGATTTTTAATTTGAATCACTTAACGAGCCTTTAACAAGCCTATAGAAGATGCCCCAGAAATGACATCAAGATAGTTCTAAATATTGTTCTGAAGCTATTTTCTTGTGGCATTTTAAATTAGTTACTATTTAACTGGGAATGAGCCACAATTAAAGGTAAAAATACGTTTATTGACGATTCAAATAAAAAAATAAACGTCGATAAACGTAATTTTTAATTGTGGCTTATTCCCAGTTAAATAGTAATTAAGATAGTTCTAGGTGACATGATAGCAAGAATAGGACGAGAGCGAGATTTTATGCCGACTATAGACAGGCATAGTCTACACAACATCAGTAGCGATAACGGATTACGACTGATATACTTAGCAGCAGCACTGAACATGACCGTCGCTAGCACCTATTTTGAACATAAGAATATACACAAGGTAACCTGGACCTCCCCTGATGGAAGAACAACTAGTCAGATTGATCACATCTTAATAGATTCAAGACACGGAACGGACATAATGAACTGCAGAAGTTATAGAGGCGCAAACATAGACTCAGATCAGTGTTTAGTGATCTCAACACTAAGGGCTAGAATTTCAAATTCCAACAAAGAAAAAAAAATAGATACAAAGAAATGGAATGTACAGAAGCTGAGAGATGCAACTGCTGCAAAACAGTACTGGGAAAATATTACCAATAGGTTAAGAAATCAAAGTTCAAGCGAAGAAGACCAGAAAGATATAGACTCCTACTGGAACACGATAAAGGAAGATGTTGAGTCTGCAGCACAAGGTGAAATAGGAACAGAAACTTATACCCGAAAAAATTACTGGTTTGACGATGAATGCAAAGACGCAACACAGAAAAAAAATGAAGCTTATGCAACAATGATTACCCGTCGGACTATACAAGTGTAGAGAATTACCAGACAAAGAGAAGAGAAGAAAAGAAATTAAACAGAATGAAGAAACGAAACCACTTAAAAAAGGAACTTTAATATATAGAAAACCTCAACAGAGAAAGAATTCAGAACATTCTATAAGAAAGTTAACATCAACAGAAAAGAATTCAAGGCAAACATAAATCAATGTAGAAGTTTGAATGGCGATCTATTAACAACAAGAACATATGTACTAAATCGATGGACGAAATATTTTAACCAGATACTTAATATAAACAAAGAATAAGAAAACCCGTAAGACGAAAGTTGTGTGGTAAGCGGAGCAGACGAGAGGGAGGAGAATCCACCAACGATCCTGGAAGTTAAAGACGCTGTAAACAAACTAGTCAGAAACAAATCACCCGGAATAGATAATCTCCCAGCGGAATTATATAAGGAAGGTGGCCACGATATCATAATAGCGCTACAGCAGCTTATAAAAGGGATATGGATACAGAAGTCCCTTCCCAGTGACTGGAATATTGGAATACTTTGCACCATACACAAAAAGGGAGATATCTTTAAATGCTCTAACTATCGAGGAATTACGCTCCTAAATGCAGCATATAAAATATTCTCCAACATACTATGCCATCGTATGGTGCCGTATGCAAAGCGAATAATAGGACAATACCAGGCTGGTTTCAGAGGTGGTAAATTAACAATTCAGATTTCAACTCTGAGACAAATTCTAGAGAAAACACTGGAATACGGTGTAGACACGCACCACATATTTATAGACTACAAGGCAGCCTACGACTCTGTAAATAGAAGAGAATTGTTTTAGAGCAATGATAGACCTGGGAGTACCAAATCAGTTGGTAAGTCTAACCAAACTAACCTTTGAAAAAGTTGAATGCAGAGTACGAATCCAGGGGGAACTCTCTGAACCTTTTAATACAAATAATGGGCTACGTCAGGGAGACTTACTCTCCTGTATACTATTTAATCTAGCTCTGGAAAAAGTAATAGGTACGTCACAAATCACAAATCACACTAGAAAAATGCTCCTTGATAGACCTATTGGTCAAAGAAGAAGAGGAAGACCCAAAACAAGATTCCTAGATAACATAGACCAAGATATGAGAAATATGGAAAATACGTGCTTGGCGGAGGAAGGCGATGGATAGGGACGACTGGAAGAGAATTCTTGGGGACGCTAGGACCCACACAGGTTGTAAGGCCAAAATGATGATGATGTTGATTATTAGAGTGATGTCTGAGCAAATGTCTGGTAAAATGTGTAACTACATCACCAAAACAAATGGGACAAATTGTTGGTCTTTCTCTGGCAGATGACTTCCTCTTGTACTCGTAATTATTAATGTAATTCTGAAAATAGGTTAGAGTTAAGTTATTCTGCTTAGCTATAGGCAGTCAGATGACACTACACATTTCTAGTCCTACTATATTAAGTACGTTTAATAGCTAACAACTATTAAATTTTAACAATTATTACTGACTTATTTCTAATTTTTAAGTTTGTGCAAGGGTGAACAAATATTAATATTTTCAGTTAACAAATATTAACAAGACAAATCATTTTACTTCCATTTTATCTATAGTATCAGAAAATAGTTTGGATCCATAGGTTTTTGCTTGGTAATGAAGCATAAGCAAGCGAGAAAGATAATGATGCGTAATTGTTGTTGAAAACTTGAAAGTACACAATACATATTTATTTAAAAGTTTTCGAAAGTAAAGATCAATAGGTCATTCTTTTCAAGAAAATGAAAAGACACGAGAATATAAAAAGGAATTTTGATATTGATCTCTTGATTCCAAATTCAATAGTATTCTGTATTACACCCACAGGAGCCTACATACTAAACTTGAAAACGCTAACACTTTCCTTTAAAGAAAAAGAAAAAAAAAAGAATTTCTTCTTCTCATGGCGCCGTCTCCTTGCGAAGGTTGGCGATCCAAATGGCAATTGTGGTTTTGGAAATTGCTGCTCGAAAGATTTCTGCGGATGAGCGGTCGAATCCTCAGGTCTTTCAGCCATGAGTTCTGGCGTCTTCCTACTGATCTTTTGCCCTGTACTTTTCCTTCCATTTTAACTTGAAGTAATTAATATTTTTCGCCTCTCAACACATGTCTTAAGTACAAAAGAATTGATAAGACGAAAATAACCTGTTGAACAACACAAATCCAATAATGTTCATACTTACATCAAGAGGAACCTATGTACCAAATTTGAAGACTCTAAGAATTTTACTTAAAACGGAAAAGGTATATGACCCAAATATATATACTCCATCTAATTTATATACCGATGCACGTCATCGGCGTCATAGCCTGTGACGTCACATGATACCAACACAAAATATTTAGGGTGTAGCTGTGTTCTTTTTTAGAATCACTTTACCGAGTACACTGGCATTACAGCCACTAGAAATATTTTATTATATACGCGTAGAAATAATATTTAAAAATTTCTATTAATGTTAACTTAAAGAAATACACAATAATATGTTTCATTTAATTTGTATAAATGCATTATAAAGCGTTTTTATCAAGAACATTTGTTCGGAACACACTGTAACTGTATTTGAACGAAGGTAAAATTTTGGCATAAATTGGTAACACTTATTTGACAGTTCCGGTGTTGACACTTTTTGTACTTCATTATTTTGAATTTTTAAAGTGAATATCTCTTGTTTATATTTTTAACTATTTAATAAAATCTGTTCTTTTTAGAACAAAATTGGTGTGTTTTATTTCAAAAATGTCACGTAAGAATTTAAATATTTACGTTGTAAAGAGATGGTAATACTTGTGCAATAATTATGTAATCTATTTGATTTAAAATGGAGTCAGGATTTTTTTATACTTTGGCAACTATGTCAACTTCGATCTCTGACGTAGATAATGACGTAAGTCGTTATCTAAATTAGATGAAGTATATAAGAATATGATCCAAAAAGACCCATTGACCCCAAGTTTAATAGGATTCTTCCTTTCTATCGAAACCTATGTAATAAATGTTAGGACTCTAGAACTCTTTTAAAGTGGGATATTTTCCGTGAGTTGGCTGTATACCATAGTGGTAAAAAAACTTTTACACTCAAGTGGAAACAAAAATCTAAATGGATTTGAAGTACTTGCGCTAATAACCGCGTCACCAACCAGTGCGTGGGTTTAAATTGAAAACTACAAACTCTAAAAGTATTAAATTAAACTAAGTTAATTAAATTTTAGGTAAGTTCAGTTTTAAGTAAATTTAAGAATGTAGTTTTCAATTTAAACCCACCCACTGCTTGGACACACGGTTATTAACGCAAGTATTACAAAGTAAGTAGTATAGATTCTTCCTTTAAATATATTTTAACTCAACAACATTCATTTGTAATATCAGTAATTGATGGCCATCGTCAAAAATCAAAATGTTTTGTTTTCCAATGGAAACATAATATGTTGCATTGATTCATAAACAGTACAAGATAAGTGTATCAGATACATAAAAAATCTAAAGTTGATAAAAACGTAAACCAGGATTAAACAAATGTTAGAAGGCCAAATTTAAAGAAATATTATTAGACTTGAATACTTTTTACTTCTAAAATGTATGTTACCTTCTCCATTGAAGGAGATTAATTATAAGACCACTATATCAGATAAACCCAAATAAAATCAAACAAAAATAAAAGCAAAAAATCTAAAAAATAATGCTTAATATTATAGCTACTTACCTGTTCATCTGGCAACACAGCGCTCACAGCCTCATGTAACTTCGTCAAATGTCTCGAAATATTCCTAAACTGTTTTGAAGGTACTGGAGGTTTAGCATCCCATTCGCCCAACTGATCCCCTAATAACGTATTCATTATAGACAATACCTTTGTCTCTAATTGTCGAATATGATGCCCAATATCTTTTTCAACCAAATCAAAGCCACTTAACGCCTCAATGGTGAGTGTTTTAAAATGTGCCCTAAGTAATGGTATCATCCATACTAAAAATTGTAAAGACCTAGATGCTAACGCTAAATTAGTTGAGGTTATAGTCTTCAATCCTGCCGTTCTAAGAGCACCTGCACCTAATACTAGTTGACAGGATCGTGAATTAAAGGTTTTGAGCAGGTCAGTCAGATTTCTGGCTACCACAGGAGCCAATAATTGAAGGTCGTAGGAACAAACACAATATTCGCTGATTAATCGAATGAGGATGAGGAGAGCACCGATGGTGTAGTAGCTTTGAGTACCGATTTTGATATATGGGGTTGGTTTTAAATTATAACGGTTCGTTGTTATATCTTCTTCGCTCGGAGAAGACGGTAGGGACTTGATAGGCTCCCCTGGAAATAAAAATGATTTTAAGTTATTCCGATATAAATTTCTGTCGACGGCAATTTAAGTATTTAATACATAAACCTAATAACAATTAAACTAAAGTAAAATATTTTACCTGAAGCTAATTTATCTACCAAAATCTGTATTTCGGAAGGTACTTCCGCCACTTTCCATCTTTCAGCATCTAGCAGCAGTTGTAACTTATTTTTCCGTTGTGTGTGAAACTTATGTACATAATTTCCTGCCTGAATTTTAAACGCCGCCTTCAAAGCCGCGCTTTGACGTCCGCCACATGTCCTTTCGCACATTTCCGTAAAACTTTCGACAATATTAGATAGTTCTATAACTTGAGCAGACGTTACTGTTTGTTTATCCGATTGAGTACTGACTAGAGATGCGATTCTCTCGTTGCAGTAATCGCAAACTGAACTAAGGAGATCGCGTAACTTTAATTCTATACGATTGTGTTCCTCGAGTGTGAGGAAATTTTCTGTTGGCGTGGAGGATATGCTTGTTGATGTTTCCAATGATGATAGGCCGGCACTGGCTGCTGCAGTTTCTTTGATGACATCATGAACAGCTTTCACACGTTCCACGATTTTCGCTAAAAAATTACATTATTACAACTTTCACACTTTACATGTGTTTTTTTTTTTTTTTCTAAGATAAAAATACATTTATCTAAACACACTATAACTTTTGTTGACTATCCCACTGCTTTTTCCCTTCCATGTACTATTTAATTTATAATTTACAGATGTGACATTAAGATCTGACACAATAAAATACCCTTTGAATGCATAATCTTGATCTTTTTCGTATATAAAAGGAAACAAAAAATATTGTAGTTCGACTTTAAGCAGAGAAATAGATTGTTTTAAGATGACAGCTTGTAACCTCAATCAATTCAAAACGGAAAGATATATAAGAGGCTGCCAGTTTTATGCTTTTGATTTTAACTAGACTTTTAAAACCGAAGAATAAGCGGGATTCAGGGCAGGTAGATCAAGTATTGTCTATTTATTCTGCCTTAAACAGATTATTGAAAAGAAAGTTGCCGTTAACCAGGAAGTACATTTATTTTCTGTGGATTTAAGAAACGCATATGACAGTATATCACAAAATAAACTATGGGAAACATTTGAGAAAATAAATATAAACATGACTTTAATACGAACAACCAACCAAATATACAACAATTCTAAGGCAATGGTAAAAATTGGAAAAACCCTCTGCAAGGGATTCCAAACCAGCAAGGGTCTTAAACAAAACAATGTCTCTCACTGACATTATTTAGGATTGACCTCGATCAAACTTTGAAAACGCAAATGCTAAAACATGGGATTGCCGTTAAATAACAATACTACATACACATTATTATTTGTAGATGGCCAACTAGTAATAGCGCAAGAGTATGAATATATTGAATATATGACAAGGAAATTAATCGAGGAATATAAAAAATAGGGGCTTTAAAGAAACATAAGAAAAACATTATGTGTGTCGGTGGGATACAGGAGGACCTCGCATTGGAAGATGGAGAACTGATCAGACATTGTAACACATATAAGTACCTGCGTATGATCATCATGAAAGAAGAGAATGTAGACGACACCGTAAAAGAGAGAAAGAACCAACGGAGGCAACTGAAATGGATACATAAAGAAACCGAAATATCCGATAATTAGTTTGGCTTTATGCAATACAGATTAACAACAGATGCAATTTTCATTATAAGGTAGTTGAACGAAAATATAGGAATAAATAAAAAAAAGCTCATACGGTAATCATTGATCTTGAGAAAGTATATGATAGATTTCCTCGAGGGAGCACGAAATAGTGAAAACGATTTTTCAACGCAAAGAACAAAAACTGGTACAGTGCAGACAAGTCATTAAGGAAAAAAGTTTAAAACTTGTAGGATGTAAAGATGTAATGTAAATGTATGAAAAGATGTAGTGTAATGTAAAGATGGTTTAACTACAAATAAAATGATATCTTTGAACCTTTAAGTAATTTTAAATATCTAGGATCGGTATTACAGAGTAATGGGGAAATAGGTGGAGACGCATGCAGTATAATTAGGAATAGATGAAGAATAAAGTGGAAGGAAGCGAGTGGTGCGTTGTGCGACACAAAAATTCCAATGAAGCTGAAGGCAAAATTCTATAAAACCATTTTTCATGTTCAGTACTGAACATTGGGCAGTTAAAAGAAAAAAGGAACAACAAATTAATGTGGCGGAAGTGAAAATTCTTAGTGAATGGCAATTAGTCAAAATAAGTGTAGTGAATAAAATTGAAGATGAGTATATTAGGGGCAGTTTACTGGTGACAGCTGATACTAAAATGGAAGAGCATAGGTTAAGATGGTTTGGTCATGTTAAACGTTGAGACGTTAATCACACAATACGAAAAATGACTAATATGCGGGTTCCTGAAAAAAATAGATGAATATCAAAGAAGAACTAGGTAGGACCCTTAAGTCATCTCAGTTGACCCAAATATTCAAATCACTAATATCCAATCACCCAAAAATTATATGTATTACACGCTTTTGTTAATAAATAAATGAACAATTTAATCGGATATTTTTATAAACTTTGATTCTTCTTCTTCTTAAGGTGCCGTGCATTTCTGCGTAGGCGTCCACCGTAAATAGTCTTGTCAGGTGACATGTTAAAAATTCAGGATTAAATAATTATGTTTTTAGCAGCATTGCGAAGAATGTCATAGCTGTGGATTCCTGTCCATTGTCGAATATTGCGCAGCCATGACATTTTTTTACGTCCCAGGCCTCTCCTACCCTCTATCTTCCCTTCGAATATCAGTTGCTGAAAAGTGTATCTTTCTCCTCGTAATATGTGCTCTAAGTATGCAGTCTTCTTACTTTTTACATAACTAAAAAGTTCCCTATCCTGTAAGCCCGCTCTTCTGAGTACTTCCTCGTTTCTGACCCTGTCCGTCCATGATATTCTAAGCATTCGACGCAGGCACCAAATTTCAAACACTTCAAGTTTGTTGATGGAACTGGCCCTTAACGTCTATGCTTCCATTCCGTACAGGAGAACAGGCCACACGTAACACTTAAGCATCTTATATCGGAGGTTGAAGTCCAATTTGCGATCAGTCAGAAACTTACGAAGCCTTAAAAAAGCATTTCTGGCTTGTTCAACTCTGCTCTTTATTTCATTCTCGGGGTCCCAACCCTCGTTGAGCAAACAACCCAAGTATTTAAATTGCCTGACCGATTTCTTCTTCTTCTTCTTCCGTGCCTTATCCGGTCCGGATGTTGGCGATCATCAAGGCTATCATGGTTTTGTTGACTGCTCTGCGAAACAGCTCCGCTGAGGTCATCCCAAACCATTGTCGGAGATTTTTCAACCACGAAATACGACGGCGTTCCGGTCCTCTTCTGCCAAATACTTTACCCTGCATAACGAGTTGAAGAAGATTTTTCTTCGTTCCGCATCACGTGGCCAATTTCTTCTCCAGAGAGATATATATTTGCGTTGGGGTAATCATTTCTACTTATAATCATTATTTTTGTCTTCTTGATATTTATTTTCAAACCTCGAGCTTCACCTGCAAGAGTTAGATCTTTTAAAAGGCATTGAAGATCTTCGATGTTATCTGCCACTATGGCTGTATCATCGGCATACCTGATGTTATTAATAAATATGCTAATAATTTTAATACCCTTATTACAGTCTGCCATTTCTTCTGCGAAGGCTTTTTCTACGTATAAATTGAACAGCATTGGAGACGGTATACAATCTTGCCTTACTTTTTTAATGGAGAAATCTTCTGTTTCGTTAAAATTTTGAAGACGTACTGGTTCTGTCTGGTTCCAATACAGATTGGCGATAATTCTTATATCCTTGGCATCCAATCCCAACTCTTGTAGGTATTTTATCATCAATTCGTGTTTTACATTATCGAATGCTTTCTCGTAATCGATGAAACAGACAAAAACATCCTTTCTTTGATCTAAACAATTCTGCATTAATGTTTGCATACAAAAGATCGCTTCTCCAGTGCCAAGTTGATTTTTGGAACCAAACTGACTCCATCCACTGACCTCTTCACATTTTTTAAACAATCTAGTGTGAAGTATTCTCAGGAAAAGTTTTTAAAAGTGACTCATTAGGCTTATTAGTCGGTGGTCCTTGCAGAAGTTCGCACGTGGTGTTTTTGGTAGGGCGATAAATGTAGATCGAAGCCAATCTTTTGGAATCTGGCCCGTATCGTAGATGTCGTTAAAGAGCTTGACAATAATGTCTAGGTTTTCTTCATTAAGTAACTTGATTGTTTCTGCGTACATATCATCTGGTCCTGGGGTTTTGTTACTTTTTAATAGTTTGATAGCGTGTACAATTTCAGCTTTCAAGATACTTGGTCCATACAGATGGTCTCCCAGTTATGGTGGTTTTTGTGTTCTGTCATCATTGAACAAATTGGCTTTGTACATTTTCCAAGTATTAAGTATATCGCTAGGGTCCGTTAGTTCATTTTGGTCATTATGTATACCAGTGACTTGTTTTTTCTTGAAGACACCAGCAATTTCCTTAATTTTCTTGTGAAGATTGAAGCTCTTGCCGAGTTTATATAGGTTTTTAGCCTCGGTGCAAAGTGTAGTCATCCAGATCTCCTTCGCCGCTATAATTTCTTTACGAATTTGACTGTGTATATTTCGGTACCCTACTTGGTCCTGCCTAATCTTACACTGCCTGCGTTGTTCCATCATCTCTAATATTTCTTCTGTCATCCACTCATTCTTGGTAGTTGTTTTACTCTCGAGTAGAAAAGTGTTGTTCACCTCATCAAATGATTCTTTTATGGTGGTCTATGACTTTTCAACGTCATCCTCAGTTGTCATATTAGAGAACCTATTGTTTATTTCCTTTGTGTACGCTTCACTTGTTTCATTGTTTTTGAGTTTTCTAATGTTTACTGATGCCTTCTGGTGTTTTCTTTTAGCTGTAGCGAGCCTGTGGTCGGATCCTATGTCTGCTCCAGGTAATGCAGATACCTTAGTAATAGCATTCATGTACCTTCTATTAATTGTCACATAATCTATTTGGTTCCTTATAATGCCCTGATGTCCGTCTAAAGGCGACTTCCACGTGTAAAGCCTCCTGAGTGGTAACTTATCCCAAGTATTCGTTATGACTAGATCTTTGTCTTGGCAGTACTGTATCAATCTGTCCCCTCTGTCGTTTCTCTGACTAAGACCATATTTTCCAACTACGTGATCTACGGCTCCTTCCCCAATTATTGCGTTAAAGTCTCCTAATACGATGTTAATTTCGTGATTCTTAGTCACCTTTAAGGCTTCGTCTAGCTGTTGATAAAATCGCTCTAGTTCTTCTTCTGGCTTGTCTGCTGTAGGGGCGTAGACTTGTATAATATTTATGTTAACTTTTCCATGCAACTGAATAAGTATAACTCTTTCGGAGATCGGGACAAAGTTCTTCACGGAGACGCGCAAATTTTGTGTTAGGTTTGCCTTCCGAGAATAAGTTAAAAGGGAGATAGCGCGACTAAAAACAATGTTGAAAATATTATCGTGAGAGGTATAGAAGGCTTTCTAAATTGATTATAAAATGGATAATTCATAGCAAATTTTATGAGCGAAGTTAAGACAGTTGATAACGACTGAATTTTATCTAATTCAAAAATATGTTATTGAAAATATAAAGTGAGAATTGTGATATTAATTTTATTAAAAGATTGTTTTATGAGATATTAATATGCCAAAGAAATCAGCCTATAGCCTATTAAGAAACTAAATTAGGCAAAGAATATGATGATGAATTAGTTCAAGACTGCTTGTCTTTTTTAGAAACCGTACGCTACCAAAATAGTATCGGATACCTACTTAAGGCCGCACTTGCAGATCTAATAACCCGCAGCCAATGGGCTGCGTCCATACTTGGTGCTATTTCTCCGGATCCAGTCAGCTCGTTGAGTTCATCCTCTGCATCTGCTAACTGCTCGATCATAAGTTGTTTAAGAAGGGCTTGAGCTGCTGTTACCGCTTCCTAAATAATAAAAAGATATTAACTCAAGTTTGCTTACTTGCATTTTTAATATTCAAAGATACATCAACTAATTAATTCTGCAAGTGTTGCTGTAAGGTGATTCAAGTAGTTAAATAGCAGAACAATCAATTCCAACCCCGAATAAATGAGGAATGTTCTAAGGTGATACCAGCAACCTGCCTCGTTAAAAAATAGAACACGGTCATAACTAATCACAAAGCCTCGCATACGGGAATGAATCATTTGAAGATAAGGACAAAAATATTTTCCTTAAGAAGGAAGAGGACTAGAGAAGGAGTACTGAACTACGATTAGCATGTTAAAATATTATTAATTACTGATTGAAATGATGACCCACAAAATCGATATACATGCTTACTTTCAGAAACTAACTGCCTACTACTAACTACTAACTAGGTATAGGAAGGGAGAGGAACATCGAAATACCAAAATTTCTTAATCATTTATAGTGCAAATGACAAAGGAGATTAAGCAAGATCAGGAGTGGGCCTTTTACCGCACGAAAAATTTAAAAAATACGACATAACAGATAAGAAAATATCAGCTACAGAGTCCTGAAAACGACATTGACAGCGGAAAACAGTAAACTCCATATTATATCAGTTTATGCTCCAGAAACAGGTGAAACAGAAGATTTTTATATTGATATAGTAGAAATTTTCTGTTTTTTTTTTTTCTATATTTTCTATATTGAAAGATTTCTAATAGGCTAGAAAAAATACCGATTCTCGGGGATCTTAACGCAAGAGTAGGAATTAACCGAATATACAATATAAAATTACTGTTAACTGAGTTACAAACGGTAAGAGCTTGAATATCGGCAGATATAGGACCAGATCACAAACTAGTACTGGGCAAATTTTTATTAAAAATACCTCTTACCATCTAAATACTCTGAAAAATTAAACATGGCCTTTAGAATGTCAGAATATAAGCTGGTAGGTGTAATCCTCCATACCAATTCAAGCAGGCAAAGACAAAATCTTACCTTCACAGTCTTAGATGCTATTAAGCCCCATATTTTTTGTTTTGGGCCAAAAAATTTTTGTCGCGAGGTACAGTTCGAAAAAGATGGCGCTACGGGCCTTATCTTCCGAGTGCGACTTTCAGCAAAATATGAAAAATGCTCTCCCTTTTTTATTCAAAAGATAATAACTTTTAGGATAAAATAATATTCTTAGTTTATCAATATGTATCCAAGTTATGCAAATACAGCATTCTAATTTTTTTTAATAAAAAATTGTTTTTTTTTTTTCAAAAACACTAATTCCAAAAATGTTTATTATTAATAAGTACCATAGAGCACTACATTCCCTTACAAGAGAGAACTTCGACTTTTCAGTTGAACAGATTTTACAGAAAATTGAAAATATTTTCCATACATCAAGGTACTTTCTGTTACTTTTTCTTACATAGGTTTCATAAAATTATTTGCATGGCATTTTAATTTCCCTTAAAGATAGTTTAAATTTAATAATAGCAGTTTTTCAAATTTTGTTTCTCAATATCGATACTTAACACAAGGAAGGTGATCAAAATAATCAAATAGTACAAGAACATCATTGACAAACATAAAAATATAGAAAAATAAAAAAAATTGTATTTTTTTATGTTTGTAAAAAATAAATTAAGGTTAAAACAAAATTAAACATGTATTAAATTTACAACCAAAACTTCCACAAGAGTAAATTAATTAGATAATACCAGATATCCGCTCCTACATAATGGAAATTGGGACACTAGCTCGACAAATTGCCCACAGGATACAGGCTGCTTGGTTTAACCAGAGGCGAATGAGATACCAGAGTGTGGTGTGGCCTGCGTTGGTGTACTGAAGTGAGGCGTTTTCTGTAAAAAGGGTTCAGGAAAAGAGGATGGAGGTAGCTGAAATGAAAATGTTACAGTAAATGTTTCGTTCGGCTAGAGGGGACAGGATCAGGAATGACGTGATTAGGGAAAGAGCCGGGGTGAGTACAGTCTCAAAAATGGTTAAAGAACAAATACTGCAATGGTTTGGTCACGTCAGACGTAGAAATTAGAACTATGGAATAACTTATGTAGGACGAAGGTAAAACTGATTGTCACTTCAACTATCTCTCCTATATCTGATGTCACTAAATATCTAAAGACGCTGCATAAACAATCCATTAGCCAGTCTAAAACTTACGTTAGTGATTCTACACAGTATATAGAGAAAATAAAATATATCAAACTACGTCAGTTGAGTCATTAGACGGCTGAGGGAGGTACTGCAGAGTGTAGAAAACAAGCAGGAATTCATAAAAGGCTTCCTTACTGAACATTAGCCTATCAAGGGAACCTACAAACAATGAGGCTGTTGCATGGAGACGTGAGCCGTAAACTCTATGGAATATAATCTTATAACAGTCAACCATATTTTGCAAATTTCAAAGTATTTGTTGATACACTGACAAAACGATAAGACCAATGTAATACAAAAACAACCTACCGTTTTGGGGAGTAATATACTTTATAAGACACTTATTATTAAAAGAATTATTTATTTACATCTATTCGTATCAGTATAGGGTGATAACTCATATTATCAAGAAATTTTCATACGAAGAAGTCTGTTCAGCAATATTTATTATACATTCAATAAAATTTGTAATTAGTAATAGCAATACAAATAAATTTGTAATATTAATTCAGAGATGTGAAATGATGTGTAGCAAAAACAATATTGATGGACAAGAAGAACTTGTTAGAGCAAGCTTGTCACAAGTCACTTTTATATATTTATTATATTTACTCAACATTTGCGTGTCCTTTATTATATTTACTCAACATGTGCGACGTCGTTTATTATATTTACACAAAATTTGAGATTTCAAGGATAACTGTTCTCAGCACAAAAAAATTTTCCAATCTGACACTGTACAATACTGTCGTCAGCTTATTGCATAATACTACAGAACTAGCGACTGGAATGAATGAGAATTCATCAGAAAAGTGAAGGAAAAGACAAAGATATTATAGGTCCTAGTACTTACAAATATGGAAGCAATAATAAAGCTCATAAATGTAATTTACTGTAGCAATATTTTAGAATTAATGATGGAAAGTCAGCAACTGATCTGTTTGCTACATATGCTAGCGGCAGCTGTTCATCGGCGAGCAATGGTCGTAGATACTGTTGCTTTAGTTTATAAAAAAATGTTAAAATTAAAAGTGAAATTTGAATTTAAATTTAATTGTGGAAATTGAATTATAAAATAGTCGTGCCCAGAGCGCCACTTTATTTATACAGTTAAGTAATACTTCACCAAACAAAGAAAAATGAAGACTGCGATTAAATGATTTAACTCTTACTTACCAAAAAAAAACTAATATTACCAAAATTGCAAAATTGTAGACTCCAAAATCAAAACACAGATTCAACTAACAAAAGCTTGTTTTATTTTATTTTAATTAAATAGAAATTTAACAAATTATTAAAAAATAGCAAATATTTAATTGAGCCGTAAGTTAAGTACATAAAAAAATAATAGTCAATATGACATTGCAAAGTGACCTTCAGATTGAAAGTTTAAAAAAATAACATTTTATAAATGTACTTAGTAATTGGAAAATTATATTAATATTTAAACAATTAAATATATATACCTAACTATGTGAGTTAGTGGTATAGTATTAAAAAAATTATAACTCATTACTTTGATTCTTGAAAAAAAATTATATTATACCTAGTACCTTTTATAGCTATAAGGGTTTACACTTTATTGAAATATTTTATTAAAAATACTTAAAGAAAAATATTTAAGCCACTATTTGCGGTATATTATAAAACAAAAAAACTTTCTGTAAGGTATTATCTTTAAAAAAAATAAAAAATTGCAAAAAAAAACCTGTTCTCAAGCCTACTATTCCCAAAGCAGCTTAGGTGGTAGAGGTTGATTTGGAGAAGTTTGAAGGAGTCCTGGAGGCAATTTAAAGTTGGAGCAGAGAACAATGGCTCGAACACGAACACATGGCCATGCTTTCAGGAAACAAAAATCGAGAAGTCTTCTTGGGATTGAAGTGATGTTGGTGGTAACTAACTGATTTTTCCACAGCCCTATTATCGCCGACAAATTGGAGGCATCAGGGACTGTAACTGGTGGTTGGACCCACGTGTGGTTGCACAGGATTCAGGAGCAGAATAAGTTACCCCGAAAATGGTAATTCCTCGAAAAGGAATAGGCTTCCAGCTAGTCCCTATATAAAATTATTTTAGAAAATACTTCTAGGTGAAGACAACAAAAAAAACTTACCCTCTCGAAATTTAGGGGACACAAGGCAACTAAAACCGACAAAAATGCAAAAGCCTTTTCATTTCGGCCATGGCTTAATATAAAGCCAAAAATTTTACAAAAAATAGGAAGTGATGATTTGATGACTAATGTCAGAGACAAACAGAAGACCAATCTCATAGAGAAAAATTCCCTAGGTTAATTAACAGTCTATGGTAAATTTGGGCCTTAGAACAACGACTTTCTTGAAAAACCGCCTAAATTATAAGCAGACAATCATAGATTCTCGAACAGTGAGACGACCTTACTCGAAGCAATAAACCGAAGACAACAGGTGTTTAACTTCAGACCGATACATTTGTTGACATTTTTCACAAAGTCAAAACAGCTGGCCGAGAAGAATAAAACAATTTAACTTTTTGTTGAAAATTAATAATTATGTACACCTTCTACAAAATAGAGAGGCAGAAAGGTAAGTCATTTATTACATGATATTCGACATTAAATAATTAACATTAACTTTATTTTCAGATTGGTGAAGATGGATTATATTTTGTTACTAAAAATCAAATTTCAACTACCAGAACCCAGAAACTAGAAGTTTAATCTATAAAATTAAATATATACTTCCATCCATATCTGTACACTAGTTATTTAAATGAATAAAGTATGTTCATGACTACTTAATATTTATTGTGTTTATAGTAAAAACCAGGTAAGCAATTT